GCTTCATTTTCTGTCGAATAAGTTAATCAACCTAAGGGATTGCTTGACAAAACTCTTCACAAAGCAACACAAATTTCAAAATATGAGAAAAAGAATGTCAAAGACATTTGTATTCCACTATATAAAAAATGTTTCAATCAAATACAATATTTCGATCGCTCAAATCCTCGAGTATCTCATGAAAAATAACAAAAGTTTGCCAACCATTTTTTTCTTTCACTCGCACACAAAAGAGAACAAAATACGTTATTTATAATTAACAGGTGGACCAAACTTTGACCTAAATTTGCTCTAACTATCCTTTGTCATTTGCATTCCAAATTTTGGAAGGAAGAAGACAATCAGTTTATGTTTTATTCCAATTCTACAAGTCACCAACCGAATTTGCATAGGAAGAATCTCCAAATTAAATTCCATTTCCTTTTAAAATTGATATATATTTTATAATGGTCATTTTTTGACAACAATTTCAACCTACCTAGACAAAAAGGGTCAAAACTTCTATGAGTTCTATCACCTCTTTTGAAACTCTTGATCATAATACTTAAAAAATGGAATAATGTCATTAATCATCATTATTTACTCATAGTGATAAGACATTTTAGATAACTTAAATTGATTTATAATCTTAAATGTAAAATTTAAGTTGGCAAATCGTAAAATGATATATCACTGACGATCAATAAAGACCCCTAATTATGAGCACTACTCTGGAAAAAAATTAGTAAATTTTGACCGTCACAACTCTCAAAATCAGATATCGTACTCAACCAAAGTGTATAAAATTTTAGAGTCAACAAATTCTAAGAAGAATTATGCTACATATACATCAATTTTGTACAACTAATTTGCCAGATGCAGAGTTTAAATCTTCTAAGAATTATATCTATCACGTCAAACGAACTTATCAGAAAAGTTATAACGCAAACCAAATGTTGGCTTTCTCGAGAGTCTAACAACCATCAACATAAGTTCCTCCATACGTCTTGCATCAATGCCAAACCAATGCTTGTGGGAGGATGAATTCGCTAGCAGTATAACATCATCTATCATAACAACTAGTCGCATGCCTCAATGAGACTACAGACAGTTAGTGTCAGTAATTGACTTCGAGCAATTAAACGAGTCTTCACCACCTTTTGGACAATTTTATTATTATTATTATTATTATTTTATTTTACGACAACAATTGTCCATACTTAGAGAAATTTGGGCTGGGTGTTCTTTCCAAATCCTAGTATAATTTCGAGTGAATCAATACATCGTCGACATGTACGGGCCAACATGACCTTGATTTGTCCACATGGTCATTATCTAGAGAAGACTAAAGTCAAATAAAACTCATTTAGAGCGTCTCCTAAAGACTTTCTATTTTTAAATAGCATATTCTCATCTATATATTAGAAAGTTAAAATTTTAAAGCACTCCAACAAACTCTTTATATTTAACACTTAATTTTACTACTCCCAAAAGATAGTTATTAGTTTTGTCAAAATTATATTATTATTTTTCTCTATTGAAAATTAAAACACTTTGAATGCATTTAATTATAGAGAGCCACTTTCTAAATTAAAACTTTAATTTAAAGAGCCTCTTGAAATATAATTTAAAGGGTCGACTCTGTAGGCTAAATTTGCTCCGACTCATTTGATATGATACACGTATTCTGCCTGATATTCTTTGCCATTTTCATTCCAACTTTTTTATACGTTTTTCCCATGCCAAAAAGAGTTCCTTTTGCAAGGAAACAATTCTTCAAATTAATTTCATTTTGCCTTGTCAGTAATTTAATTCCACTTTAACCATATATTCTTCAATAAAATAATATTACACACAAATTTATAATTTTTCTTTATCTTTTAATTATATATTTTTCATCAATACGCTATCCAAAAATGTATTTTTTTTGACAAAAATGGGGCATTGTATATTTTTTACAATATTCCCAACTGCTCAAAATAAGGCAAAATTGATCTCTAATAATATTTAACAATTTATTTCCAGAAACAGTATGAAGGAAAGGAGACGTGCTTAAATCAGGACGGTAGTTTTGCAGTCGTGTCAAAATTTGGTGTCTCACGGGTTACCCGTTCCTTAAAGGCCTGCACTTTCCTACGCGCGGCATTGGGTCAAATCGTACACCCCCTCAATAACCTATATTCCCGTTTCATGAAAATTATAGTCAGCGCTTGTTTGGGAATAATTTTTCACTTTAAAAAATTGATTTTTTGATCATTATTGTACTATTTTAACCGTCGTTTGACTTTTTTACTCACAGATAGTCCCCACTTTTCTCCTAATTGTTAAAAATCAAATCTCAAAATCACTACCAAATAGGTGGTTAAACGTTTTGTAGATTTTAATAAGTTGATGAAATATTTCATTTAAAATTTATGAAACTTATAAAATATATGATTAAAATTAATTGATGGTAACTCGAATTATAATCTAAGTTTTAATCCAATCAAACAAGGAGATAATGGCATTGGTACCAATCGTCATAATAGAGGGTAATGAGCATATTTCTTAAGTTTAAAAAATTACTTAACGTAAGTTCACCTATATATAAATGAGTAAATCTAAAATAATTGAATTTTGTTTATTAACTGTAATTATATAACACTAAGAAGATAATTACTTTGAAAATAATTTTTTTTTTTTACTGAAAGAAAAAAAAAAGTAACATATTTAAAAATAAAAAAAGTTTGTACGATGAATTTCGTATATTGAAATACAAAAATCATTACAAATTGTATTTTGAGAAATACAAGTGATATTAACTTTTTTGTAATTGCAAAATTGCAAAAAATCTCTAATTAATGATCTAAATGTTTGAAGATGAGGGGCCACATGCTTTAATTCTGATTTTCGAGAATTTGTTGAAAATTTGATTTGTTGAGACTTGACTTGTTCGGAATATGAATTTTGCAGCTTGAACTTTGACTTGAATTTGATTTGATTTGAAGAAAACTTTCATCTTCTTAGACTTGACTTAAACCTGTTTGATTTGAAAAAGATTTTGATCTTTATAGGGTTCAATGAATTTAGATTTGAAATGATTTCTTCTCTTCCTCTGGTTTGAGATTTCTTCAGCACTTCGTGATTGTCTTCTGCGCCTTCACTTCTTCTTCCATCTTATGGACCATTGGTCCTATTTATAGGGGGAAAATTGTGTTAATTTTGATAATCACTTAAATATATTTAATCAAGCGGAATAATTGAATAATTATGATTTTTTTGAAAAAGTGAGATGGGGCCTTTAGATTTTATGGACCTCAATAGATTTTAATTTAATTGGAATAATTATTTAAATTGACCAAATCCATTTTATTTACTTTATTTTTATTTTTATTTTTTTTTCTACAGACATGATGGAATGTCTCAAGTCTCCCATCTGAACTCTACATAGGAAGTTTTTCTTGTACTCAAAAGTGAAGCATCTTTTCTTGCCGCACAAGACTCCTCCCAACGCTAGGATGTCTTATCGTACCGAAACTCAGAGGATCCGTTAGGCATTAACCATGTGCGAACTTTGGGAGTCCTAGTTTCTATAGGATTATACATGAACTAGAATAAAACATAAGCATTTAGTTCATTATTTCATTACAATCTCATTTTTCACTTTATATTTTTCTGCGTGCTCTCTCGACTAATTCTTGCTCTGAACGGTGATGAGATTCCACCTCACCGCCTTTTATAGTTATTGGGAAGCTACTTGTGACAGTCCTCATAGTATCCACCTCAGTCATTTTGATATCCTCCCAACTACAAGAAGCAACATTCGTGCCCAGCATTACCTAGGCCTTTGGCCAACCGTGGGTGGCACAAGTACTTAGGAGAGCATTGAGAGAGTCCGGAACCATTTTCAAGGTCAACCCATATGAAAGGAGTGCTTGATCGTTGTATATTATATATACTACTGAATATTAAATTTACTTTTATCATATATATGTATAATTTTGATTATTATTTATTTAATTAAGGTCTTAAATTTGTATTCTTTTTAAAATAATTTTTATTATATGAGGAAGCAAAGAGAAATTGTGAAACTATCCTCTCATAAGTGAGAATTTCACATTGCTGCATTAGATCTAGTTGAATTTTATTTCAAGTGAAAGTTTTCAAAAAGTATTTTAAATTATATAAAAGTCTCTAAGGGTGTATTTGATTGCATTTATTCTCTATAAAAAATATCAGTTTTTCACCAAAATTTCTACTTTGGATATTTGATTACTATTTTTTTCATTGAAAATATTTTTCAACTTTTGAAAATATGCCCGATTTTTCTTGTTTTTAAGGAAAATATTTTCTTTGAGTGGAATATGTTTTTGTTTTCATCAAAACAAGAAAAATATTTTCTTTTTTGAATGATATTTTCTATTCTACACTAATCAAATACTCTAAAAGTTTTAAAATGAAAATCTATAAAAGCCCACGAAAGACATCTATTAATTCTATACAGATCTATGAAAAATTCATGAAATCTAAAAGAAGTTATCACTTAAAAAAAAGTTTATCAAAATTTTCTAAACCCCGTGGAATTCTCCCCCTTAAGTTCAGCCCCAGTTTGGCCCCTATTAATTTTTATTCTATTACATTTCATTTTTCTCTTTCTTGTTTTCGATCATACAATCTTTCATAAAATAATATTACACGTAAATCGAAAACTTTTCATTTTTTTTCAATCACTCGTTTTTTAAAAAAAATATTATTCCGTCCATTTTCATTTCCCCAAAATGGGGGCCAAACGGGGGCTCAAATAGGTTTGTCCCAAAGATCTTTTCTTAAGTTCGGATATAAATTTACAAAATCATTTTTCCAGTAACAAAATTATTTTTCTAGAAATAAACTTTACAATATTTTTAACATTAGCTTATCGGGAAAAAATAAATAAATAAAAAAGCTATTGCGTCAGAAAGCGAGTAGGATTTACATGGTACTCGCGCTATTTTTTGGTCAAATTGTTCAACCAATCACCATTTATAGTCCCCCGTTCCGTCCTTCTCTTTTCCCCAACCGCCGAATTTCTCGCTAAAAGCCTAAAACCTCAAGAAAAACAACACAAAGTCTTTCTTCGCCACCACATTGGAGGAACAAAACCATGTCGGCCGCAATAAAAGATGGACTCAAAATCCACCTCCAACGCCACTCCTCCGTTCGCAATGTATGGACGAGTCGCCGGAACTCGATCACGGACCCGATTGCAACCTCAAATGGTTTTGCTAATCAACTTGCTCATCAACTCCGACAATCCAAATCGTGTTCGCGTTATCCTCAATCTATATTCCGGAGAACCAAAGAGGTCGAGATTTCGCCGACCAGTGTAATGTCTTCACCTTCAAAATTTGGACCAGTGAGCTGGTACCTGAGCATGATAAAGTCCCGCCCTATTGTAACCAAAAGTATTACCTCTGCCCTCATTTATTCCGCCGCTGATTTTTCTTCACAGGTACCTATTTCCTCTTTACTTAAATATGAAAATGATAAAGCCTTTGCTCGGTTGATTTATATGCTACTGAGTCTACAAAGCTCCAAAATGAACAATTTTATCTGTCAAAGCTCATACAAGCAGTCGATTTGCAAGAACCATATTCTCAAACGAGCCATTAGACTGCTGTGCATATTAAAAGTAAATTTTCAGATTGCTTAAATATGAAAATAATAATGAGTATACTAGTAATTGGACAATTCCTCATCCTCTTAATAAGGCCGAGATGGAACTCATAACTTTAATGTATCTGCTAAAAATTGTGAAGTGTGAAAAGTGAGGACAAGATCTGTATTAATTATTGCCTTATTTCTAACTTGTATGATTTCTAACCTGTATGACTTGTATGGGTGTGTTACTTATCAAATTTAATGCAGAGTATTGTGGAGAAATCTTCAGAAGGGTACGATTATGTGAGGACGTTGCGAATGGCTGGTTATGGGATGATAATATTAGGACCTTCATTGCACTATTGGTTTAATTTTGTGTCGAGAGTTTTCCCAAAGCGTGATCTCCCGTCAACATTTAAAAAAATGGCTTTGGGGCAAACAGTATATGGGCCTACAATGACTTCTATTTTCTTCTCAGTTAATGCAGCTTTACAAGGTTAATCTCAATCTTTTACAATTATTTCTATGCTTTTGTAGGCTCTTAGTTTTTTTTTCTTTGGCATTTTTATACATGAATTTAACCTTGATCATATTGACGTTTGTGATTGCTGCAAAGAGCTAATCTGGAGTTTCAGCCAACATTTTATGTCATATATCGGTTAATGAATCTGAAAATGGGAAAGAGTGAGAAGCAGCAGCGATCATAGACACTATCAAGGAAGATACTTGTCTTGTTCCATCCAAGAAGCCTGTCTGGTGCTAACTTTAACCAGAAATAAATAGGAAAAGTTAAACTTCTAAAAATTTATAAAAGTCTACACACTATATGATGCGGGGGGGGGGGGGGGGGGGGGGGGG